CAGTATTTTGGTTAATATTAATGAATACATCTTCTCTCTGACAGTACTATCATTATACCATTTGTGGCAGTATTCTGCCATAGAAAACGTCTATATAAGCGTTCATGTTTCTAAAATAAGAGTTTGTATGTGATCACCAAATGGTTCAAATGGTTCAAATGGTTGTGGACGGAATAGAAGAAGCTTTCGCTTAACAGGCTTCCGTGTCTAGTAGCAGGGGATCACCAAATCCTCCAGGCAGAAACCTAGGTACGTTAACAATAAAAGAGGAAAAGAAATTGGTAAATCATAGTGTGATGCTGTCCTTGGTCCTTAAGAATAGGTCAAGTTGCCTCTTGAAGGACTCCTGAGAAGTCGCTTGGACTAGCTCGGCCGGCAGCGAGTTCCAGCTTTTGACAACTCTTAAGGAGTAGAAGTTGTGTCTACAGTCCGTTCTGCTATGTTGTGTTTCCAGTTTCTGGGTGTTACCCCTTAGGTTATTGTTCGAACTAAGCTTAAGTAGGTGTTTAAGAGGATGTCCAGAAGTGTTAAGAATACTATAAGCCATTAATAAATCACCTCTAAGACGCCTATATTCTAGTGGGTAAAGGTCTAGTGAACGGAGGCGTTCTTCGTAAGGCTTAGATTTGAGTCCTCGAACTGATTTCGTGGCTCGCCGTTGGATACGCTCCAAAGTGACCTTATCCTTTTGGAGTGAGGGGGGAGTACTATGTTTCCGTACTTTAAATGGGGACGGATGAAACTATTGAAGATTGTGTGGAAAGTTCTTCCGTCAAACTGGCCAAAAATGCGCTTCAACGTTACCAGTGCAAGGTTTGCTCGGAAGGCATTTTTGTCACAGTTAGCGTAAGACTTTAAGTCATGGGGCACCAGGACTCCTAAATCTTTTTCGACTTGGGATACTACTAGAGAGGAGTTTCCTAAGTTGTAACTGTAGTTTGCGACATGTCGCAGATGGACTACTTTACACTTTGAAGTGTTAAAGGTAAGTCCGTTATCGTCTGCCCAACTTTGAAGTCGAGTCAGATCCTCTTGAAGTGCCTGTATATCGTCTTGGTTGCGTATCTCTCTCCAAAGTTTCACGTCGTCGGCAAAAAGTAATAAGTCTGACGTTACCTGTTGAGGAAGATCATTTATGTAGATCAAGAAGAGAAGAGGCCCTAGTACTGAGCCCTGGGGGACCCCACTAGGACATTCCATAGCTTGAGATAAAGTGAAATTAACCCTAACCTCAAAGTGTCGATTTTTTAGGTATGAATTAAGCCAGTCGATTAGAGGTGGTTTGATACCTAGTCGTTTGAGCTTGTTGATAAGACACAAGTGGTTAACCTTATCAAAAGCTTTGGAGAAATCAATGTAAATGACATCAACCTTTCCCTTGCGATCGAGGATGCTTGTCCATCTGTCCACCGCAGTCAGCAGGTTGGTTATACAAGAGTAACCCTTCCTGAAACCATGCTGTTGGGGTGAGAAGAAATTTAAGGACAGTAGATAGTCATTTATACCGTCGCATATCAGGGACTCCATGAGTTTTGAAGGTAACGACAGAAGAGCTACCGGCCGGTAACTTGAAGGTTCATTGCGTCGACCACCTTTGAAAACTGGTGTGATGTGAGTCAACTTCCAATTTTCCGGTAGTTTGCCTCGGCTAAGCGAGTGTGAAAACATCACGCTAAGCGGCGTTGCCAGGATTGAGGCTGCCTCCCTCAGTATGGCAGGATGAACCATATCCGGGCCAGGAGAGGTGTCAAGTCTTAAGTGCTGCAGTTTCCGGTACACCAAGTCAGCGCTTAGGTCCACTTCAGAAAGTCCTGTGGAATTGCAGATGAAACTGTCGTCAATAAAGTTGATATCAGCCGGTTGAAATGTTTGAGAGTAATGGGCCGCCAGAAGGTTAGCGGCGTCGCCATCGTTGTTGGTCGGGCCGTTAGGACCTAGCAGTTGAGAAACTCCTGTTTTGGCTTGACGAAGAGAGGCTGCATAACGGAATAGGCTTCTAGGGTTAGAGGCGAATTTGTCCATAAGCTTTGTTTGGTACTGAAGCCTGTCTTCTCTTATAGCCTTCGTGCATATGTTCCTGATATGTTTGTATTGCCTATACGCTCCATCGTTATTAGTTCGTTTATATTCCGCCCAACAGTGCCGTTTGCGGCTTAGGAGGCGAAGGGTACGGTTCTTGATTACTGTAGGTGGCTTGAAGCTTTTGGGAACCGTTTGAGGAACTGAATGGTCTGTAGCACATAAGAGCGTGTGCAGCAAGAAGTCCCAATGACCATCCACATCGATTTGAGGGTGAACATCCCAAACCACCTGTTGTAGATGGTCATGTAGAGCTGGCACATTCAGCCGTTTAAAATTCCAACGCAAATTATTGTTGGGATACCTTAGCTTAGTTTTGATGACAAAACTGAAGGCTATGACGGCATGGTCGCTCTTTCCCAGAGGAGCCAGGATTGAGAGGTTGTCGACTAGGAATTCTTCGTTAGTGAATACACAGTCTAAGCGCGATGGTGTCTGACTGTTTCTCCAACGAGTTGTCGACCTCACATTTTCATATAAGCCCAAGTTATCGATGAGGTTGAAGAACCGAGCTTCAGTTGAGTTGTCGTCTCCAGTGTACGTGTGTTCCGCGAAGTTGACTCTAGGGAGATTAAAGTCCCCTAGAATCAGGATGTGTGTGAAACCGAGACGGATAGAGCGGGATAGTCCTTCCAGCATACGGCTATCGTACTCGGTGTCGGCAGTTGGCTTCCTGTAAATGACTCCGACTAGACACCTGGAAGTACTAGACAACCTTACAGAGCACCATATGGATTCCTCAAGATTGTTAAACTCGAGGTTGTGAACCTGGTGCACCTCCAAGCAAGAGCTTATGTATATGGCTACTCCGCCCCCAATTCCTATTTTTCTGTCGTTGCGGAACAAAGTCATCCCAGGTAATGCTAACTCTTGATCCGAGAACTGAGAAGATATCCAGGTTTCAGATATTCCTATCAGATGGGCCTTGTTAGCGTTGCTAAGTTCACGTAGTTCATCCAGTTTGTTTGGTAAACTCGCGGCGTTCATGTATAAGCAGTTTATGCTTTCAATTTGGAACGCGTGAGCTTCGTCCTGTTTTTCTGTATGAACCTTATGTGAATGGACAGGTAGCCCACCTATTTGAGGTTTGCCGAGGTGGTAGGCCCTGTCCTTTACACGTTTTTTTATCGTTTAGACAGTCCACAAGTGGAATGGTCAGCTCCAACTTGCCTTTGTTCTTGGTCCTGACTTCGTATGGCCTATCCGGGTGCATGTGGATTCCAGGTGGCAATCGACGTCTATTAGCACGAAATGCTTCCAGAACTGCAGCCGCCATGTGGGAAGATGGGAAGGTTATCTTCATTAGACGGGGTCTAAGATCACCGTCCTTCTTGGCTAGTCTCGTCACATGCTGAGTCAGTATGTGTTTGAGCCTCAAGGACTGTTTGATGAATTTCCATTCCCTGATGTCAGAATTTGATTGAGTAGGGTCTGCATTTTCCGGTATACCTTGGACAATTATGTTTCTTCCGCGGAAGAACTTCTCGCGAGATTCTTTAGGGACGTTTCGTATGATATTGCGCTTAGAGTACGGTATATCGGGCAATATTCTTACGTTACCATCTGATTTCAGTAAGTGACTTGCTAGCAAGACGTCCTCTACGTCGGTAGCATCCTTAAGTGTTACTCGGAGAAGCCTCGGGTGATTTAGATGCTTAGAATCCTTTCCTCGAGTGAGCCGGGTGACCGTCAAAGGCTCTATTCTAGGAAGTTCGAACTTCTTGTTCAATTCACCCCAGAGCATCCTGTCGTTTTTATCCTGCAGACTGAGAGGAAGGTCAGGATTGTCGACGAGGTTCATGATAATGAGAGAATCGTCACGAACTGTTGTTAATTTACCAGGTTTCACGATGGGTTCACGTTTAATAACTTGTTGTTTGGAGGTCAGTGTGCGTTTGTGAATCTTGGGCTCTTTATTGACCGGACGAACAGTCTTGGGGGTAGACTGTGCGACTAAATCACCAGTTACTTTCCGTGCAGCAACACTTGGGTTGCTCGGCTTAGGCGGTGATGCCTGGTTCTTTTGGGCTCTCTTAACGTGGGTCGAATCACCTGCAGGGTTTTTGGGAACCACTGTTGTGTTCAGGGACCCTGAGCTGGGAGACCCGAGTTTGCCTAGGGAGTCTAGTACCGTCGACGTAATCATGGTACTGAGCCTCGACACGTCGTCATTAGTGTTGATGGATGCTCCATCGATGGTATACCTATCGACATCCCTATTTTTGAGTCCGTTGCGCGCTCTTGTTTGTATATTGGTTTTTTTACTGTCGTGTTCCAAGTTAACTGACAGCTTATTCCGAAGACCTGTCAGTAGGACAATGATGTTACTCAGCAAGACTACTGCGTCCGTGTTGCACGTGACACATACCCACTTTTGGTCTGACTTGCTGAGTCTGTTGTAAGCAGTTGCTGTCAGATTTGTGCATGCTTCGTGGAACCAACCTTTGCAGTTGTCGTACTGCATGCCAGTTGTGACAGCAAAACGGCATCCCGGACGTTTGCATGAGTTTTTCATGACGGTGTTGAAGCAAACTATGTTATAGATGCTTGCAAAAGCTTAAGACCTTTTTTAAAAAAACACTAAAATGCACACTGAAAACGGACAAAAATGGACAAAACGAGTGATATAAACTGAAACTAGTCTATACGTGAAAAACAAAAAAAACCGAATAGTAAGCTGAGGCAAAACCACAGGTAACTATTAAATATAGTGAAACTCAAAAAAAAGTAATCTACCGAACGTATAGCTCAGGATAGATTCTTTAGAACTGAAATGGTACTTTTGTTGCGTAAGAACACAGCAAAAGTTTGATATATGCAAATCACGTTAGGACTAAACCCCCGTTCGAAAAGCGCGCCAAAACAAGCCACCAACTGTAGTTCTTATATTTAATGATTTCAATAAATACCACGGTAACGTACGAAAGTCCAGGGAAACACTTTGAGCCAGCTTTTGCACAGTGCCCAACTCCGAGCACCACAAATACGGAATGGTCGCCTTCAATAGTGCCACTCAAGGTCGTGGTGGTGAATTTGACCTGGACCTACCTGTGATGAACTGCAGAGAATACTCCTTTATCTTCGTATGCTTTTTCAGTTTTTTAATCCTTTTAATAGTCTGTTGTAGAGCCTGAAATTTCGGATGTTGTTTCAGGTATCTAATTTGTTGTAACATTGTGTTTCAGCTTTATTTCATACAATTTTACTTCATAGGACGTTGCCGACTGTGAGTTTCTGTAGTTATTTTATTTCAATACAGCTTGATTTTAAAGGAGGAGCAGTGAGCTACAATTCCTATCTTGGTATATGTGATGTGGATTGTAAAAGTCTTGACTTGACCTACGTAAGTTCCATACTTCCTAGTGAGTGTTCTATGGTGTATCTTGTGTGGTTCTGGCGTCGTTTATGCTTCAGAGTGGACATAAATCCAGGCAAAGATCGCTTAAACGTTGTTTAGTAATCTTAATCGTTGTGATGAACTTTGTATCATGTTAAGTCTTTCATTATTCGACTCAGATACCCTTATTCGTTTGGTTTTTACGGGCACTTTACCTCACTCGACTAGTCCCCAAAATCAGTCTGCAGTAATAAGGATAGTAGGTTAGTAAACCTGTATTAATCCTGACAGATTGCCTTCCAGTAAAGGTCCAGCTTCTTGAAAGTATTCACTGATGGGGCTGATACCACTTGTTCGGGTAAGAACGCGCGCTATCTAAAAAGGACAGTGGTGTTGTTTCTCGTTGAATTAGTTAACTGTTTTGATCGTAAATTACGCATCAAAACTACGATTTACACTTTAATTGAATCTACTACAGTTAAAGTGATATTCTATTGAGTTTTTTGGCTTTTGTGTATTTATTACATTCGAAATCATTCTTGGTCTGTATCAAAGTACTTTAGTTAAGGCTTAAAATCTTGCTAAAGTTTGTCTTGTGGTAACCTCTTATTCGTTGACTGACATTTGTGTTCGTACTGTGATCATATTGTGTGTTACACCTTGATCTGACTAAAATGGTTGGTAGTACTCATAAGTGTGAACAACCAAACTGTTTGTTCCCTGTGGAGGACGGAATGCAGTGTGACGAATGCAGTAAGTGGTTTCACAAAATGTGCACCCGTTTAAGTCCCACCGCATACAAAAGATGTTCAAAGCCTAACTCACACTGGCTTTGCATGTTTTACTGTGCCAACAAAGCATTACTAATACAGGAGGCTATGAGCCTTATTGGCTTTGGCCTGTAAGAAAAACGATGGCATATGCGCTGACAACACGGGCACTGACAGTGACGAATGTGTCAGTGTAGTACCTGCTGTTACGCGACGCCTCAAACAACCTACTCTGACCGACGTAAAAGTGAAATCTCCGTTGACATTAACAGGGGGAGTAGTACCACCTGGTACTGACATTGTTAATAATGCACCTTTAGTGGAAACCGAAGATCTGGATAAAACAGTCACCGTTCCAAATAGTCCCAGTGTTATGAGGGATGAAAAGTGGACTACGGTACGTAGGAAACGAAACGAAAAGAAAAAAGCTGTAAGCAGTACACAGGTAGTTAGTAACTCACTGGTGGACTCAAGTTGTGAGCCACAAATTGCACTACCAAGATCTGATGGTAAGAGTGAAACCCATCTTGACGTGACTGAGAAGAAAAATCTAATAACATCGAATATTATTGTGAGCAAATTGCGGGAGTCAAACGACCCTGATCCGAAAATTAAACACGCGCATGACTTAGGAAAGCTAGGAGAATACATTCGTAGTATTTTACCAGATAACTCCAAAGGAGTTCAGGTCAAAAAATTGGTTAAAATAGGCAAGAGGACCGAGGACAATGTTGAACCCCGGCCATGCAGACTCCTTAAGGTAATCCTAGGATCGGAGAAGCAACGGGATCTCTTGTTAAGTAGCGCTCGTTGTCACGACAATTCTGACATCCGAGTTAGACCTGACATGTCTCTCGAAGGTAGAATAAAAAGGAAGAAAGCACTAGCTGAATTTGAAACCCGTCGGCAAAACGATGAGGAAAATCTCCGGCTAGTGGGTTTTCGGATAGTCAGGTCTTGGAAGTGAATGCTACCAAGGCCTGTGTGGACAGGCTGTTCTACTTAGGAGTTTTATATGCCAACGCTCGTAGTCTACGAAATAAGTTCTGTGAACTAGAAGCACCAGTGAACAGGTTAAAGCCACTCATATTAGCAGTGACAGAAACTTGGTTAGTCCATGACTTATACATTACTCCAGAATTATCCGGATACCATTACATCAGGAGTGATAGACATAGATGTAGAAAAGGAGGCGGCGTCCTGTTGTATATAGCCAATAGCATAAATATCCGCTCCTCTAATAGCAAATCCCATGATAGCGGCACTTGTGAAGTCATTAGCTTTAAGTCGGCTATAGGATGTAGTACATTTATGCTAGGTGTCATCTATCGCAGCCCAATCTGCTTAGCTGATGACTTTATTTTAGAGCACATTCATCTTTGGAGTGAAAATACCAGATGCTTGATAATAGAAGATTTTAACGCACTTGATATTAGTTGGACTGATATGACCACAGAAGGATCTATAAACTCCTTTGATAGTAGGTTCCTGATAACAATGATGGAGCATGCACTAGTGCAGCATGTATCCTAACCCACACGTTTTGGTGTTAACCAGGGTTCTTCTCTGCTGGACTTGGTAATCACTCATGAGACTGAAGATATAGTCGACTTAAATATTCTCCCACCGTTAATGAACAGCGATCACTCTGTTTTGTCATTCGCGTTTAGAACTAGGGACATGTTATACGATCAGGTTGCACCTTGCCCAAATGTATGGAACGCTAACATATCAGCCATTCAGGAATGCGCTGTTAAGACAGATTGGTTAGTAGATACTAGCATATCAGTTGAAGAAGCATGGTTTGTATTTAAAGGTGAATTTAAACTAGTTACGTCCCCGTTCATACCATACCTGGTACCGTGAAGACCGAATAACAGTCCACCATGGATAACTAAAACGGTCAGTAAACTCCTTAGAAGAAGGAAGAATCACTGGAATATGTTCATCTCTACTGGTTTAGAACAATACAGACCCAGTTATTGTAAGATTAGGAATGCCTGTAAAGCCCTAATAAGCAAGACTAGACTATCATACGAAAAACAATTGGTTAGGGATTCTAGATATAGTCCGAAACGGTTATTCTCGTATATAAAAAGGCGAACTAAGAGAAGCGATGGAATTCCATCACTTTTGATACGAGATAATCCGTTAATCTTAGCAGAGAATGATGCCGAAAAAACTGAAGCTTTATCGGAATATTTTAGTAAAGTGTTTTCTATCGGTAATGAGGAACGACCAATGATTCATTGTGACCGTGACGGCTCGCTGATGGATCCTGTAGTCATTGAGAAAGATACTGTTTTAAGGCTACTTCAGCATCTCAAACCTGATAAGTCCAGTGGTCCTGATGATATTCATCCTAGGATTATGAAAGCCATATCAGATGAAATTGCTAAACCATTAGCGATACTATTCGACATGTCTCTGAGACAGTCCAGACTTCCTAGAGACTGAAAAGACGCCATAATAAGTCCGGTGTATAAGGCTGGGAGTAGGGATTAGTTAGTAACTACAGTCCCGTTAGCTTAACTAGTGCAGTTGTAAAACTGATGGAGAAAATCATTCAGATAGCTGTTATAAACTATGTTGAAGGGCAAAATCTTTTCTCCAGGGCACAACATGGTTTTCGGAAGGGCCTATCTTGCTTGACAAATCTCATTGCACGAGAAGATTGGGCTGCGGCAAAGGATCTGAATGCTCCTGTGGATGTGATTTTCATAGATCTAAGTAAAGCCTTTGATAAGGTTTCCCACTCTGGTCTTAAATTCAAACTGGAACGTTTTGGAATCCATTATACAGTCGTCGATTGGATAAGTAACTTTCTCCATGACAGGAGACAAAGGGTAAGGGTTAATGGGGCTCTCTCCTTGTGGGTACCTCTAAAAAGTGGGGTTCCCCAAGGTACAATCCTAGGTCCTCTTCTCTTTTTACATTATGTAAATGAATTGCCAACTGTAGCAAAATCATCCGTTCTACTCTTCGCTGATGACATAAAGATTTGGAGACCCATACATAGTATGTCGGATAGAATAGTATTACAGGACGATCTTAGCTATTGGTGGCATGGTTAGACAGGTGGTCACTAGAAGTAAATCCTAATAAGAGTGTAGTGGTACAGTTAAATAACTCTGATGAATCGTATGACTGTACACTACGTGGATTCGTGCTACCCGAAGCAAGAAACTAAAGATTTAGGAGTCATATTAAGCAGTGATCTCAAAACCACTAGTCACTGTAAGGCTGCTGCTGCAAAAGGCTATAGGGTATTATGGTCAATTCGTAGGTCTTTCCAGTATTTGGATGATGAAATGTTTAGATTACTATACCCGATTTATGTGCGATCACATTTAGAATACGGGATTCAAGCAGCGTATCCTTGCTTCAAGTATGAAGCAGATATCAGTCAGTCAGTCAGCTACAACGTAGGACCACGCACATATGTGAATCGGTCCAGGTTGCCATACCGCATTAGCACAGCAAGATGAACACCGGATTCATAGGAGTGGTTAGGTCAAAGGTGGTAATATATAGGAGAAAGATTGCATATAAGGATGCAGTACAGGAAGAAAGAATTAGTTCGTAGAAAGAAAGATATGAAGTGATTTTAATCTCTTAGTTTAAGGGAAGACAGGGAGTGTATACACCGACGCCATTGTGATCAATTCTGAACCATGTCACCAAGAGTCTCCAACCATTGGTTACGAAAGTCACGCGGACCCCAACCAAGTAGTCTGCATCTACCAACATGGCTCAGACTAGAAGTTAGTGACTTCAGGCACTGATGCCACGTTTTGGTTTGGCCGCCCCTAACTTTCTTCCAACCGTCCCCTACACCGGTTAGCATTGCACGTCGTGGTAATCGGTGTTCAGGCATACGTAGCAAGTGGCCCAACCATCTCAGTCGATGAAGATTCATAACCTCATCAACTGATTTACCATCATTCCCTAATACCCTGCGTCTAACCTCACTATTACTTACCCGGTGATCCCAGCAAATGCCAGCAATATTTCTAAGGCATCTGTGGTGAAATACTAGTAACTTACGGGTGTCTTCTACTCTTAAGGGCCATGTTTCGCTGCCGTAAATTAAAACAGAACGAACTGCCGTGCAGTATACTCGTATTTTATTGATAGACGGATATCTCGCCTCCGCCAAAGGTGACGTAAGTTGGCAAAAGCCAAACGAGCTTTTCGAATCCGTGCTGAGATTTCGTCAGACACCAACCCATTAGGGCTGATCAGACTTCCAAGATAAGTGAAGTTGTCAACGCGTTCAATTACTTCACTCCCTATCCTTAGTTCAGGTGTTGACGCAGACCAGTCCTGAAGCAACAACTTGCATTTAGAGGGAGAAAAGCGCATTCCAAACATTCTGGCAATGTTGCTTAGTGCTACTAGAAGACTCTGCATTTTGTCAGCGTCTTCACCAAACAGGACTATGTCATCTGTGTATTCTAAGTCGTTAAGTGGACCTCCTGGAAATGAAGCAGATATGCTAGAAAGAGTTCAACGACGAGGAGCATTATTCCTTTTTTAAGGGTTAATTACTGTTTTCGTTTCACTTTCGAATTGCGTGTAGAGTAAGGGGTCCTTACAAAAATGTATGAAAAAGTCCTCTAGGATTATATTCGTGCGAAAACAAAACATTCACACTATAGTCTAAAAGAATTATTTTTATTTATTTATTTCAACACATAAATAATGGTACAAAGAGGCACCAAATACATATGCACCACACAAATATCATTCGATATGTGTGAGGGCTGTGATACTGCCCGGGTGCCCAAACCGAAGCAGGTGGTTTTCTTAGGAGGCCACTCCCCGAGCCTTCGACCTGAAGATCCGATCCACAAGGCAGTGGAGCATCGTGAGGAGATGCGGTCCCATGGAAGCTGGTGACCATAAATTGGTTCATACGCCATTTGTTCCCCCAGGATACTGGAGCCCATGTGCACCATTAGTTTGGGATCCGGTTAAAGCGCCGGACATTCGCTTTTCGTCCTCTCATTTTCTTAAACAACACCCCCGCCACGAGAAGGCAGTGAGTAGGACTTCCCTGGCAGAGGCTGTATACGCGTAGCCGTGTGAGAGCATTTCGAGAGGGAGAGCGGACTCTCCCCACTCTCGGCCGTACCAGGGCATTTGGGGGCGTTTGTAAGCAGGTTCAATTTCAGTAATTTGTAACAAAACGAAATGTCCAATTCATAAAAAATTGTTGGCTTTTTAGATGGATTGAGATAGTCAGTATGACAACTTGAGATAAATCTACTCTATACTGTCTGTATGCTTTATCTGTCTACACAGCTAAATGACCAAGTACGTACTCGAGACGATAGCAACCGATGGTTAGAGACCTTGAATGACATGACTCAAAATCGTTTGCAGTGGCACAGGTGCATCCACTCTGTGTCCTCCCGAATTCTTCATGTCCTTTCTCTTTCCATATTTGTTTTACTAGGTTATAGTCCTTGAATAACATATTCAAACCATGATCTTACCGATTACTGCTTATACTCTTACTACCTCTACCACTGTGGGATTTGAATCGACAATTGTATCTCTGTGCTAATGTGGTATGGCAATTTGAACTGATGTACGTACGTACGAAGTTATACGTTGTTGCTGACCTGACCTGACGTAAATGATGTCAATAAACATTTATTTCGTTATCGCCTGATCATAGGAGCCAGATTCATCATTCACAGCCACCGCTTAACTCAGCGTTCGATTTTAAAGATAGATCAAGCAAACAATATTAATCCTCGCAATTTGTATTACTATAAAGGTTCAATTACTATTCGGATATACCAACAGGTATTAATATTACGTGTTCTAATAGATTTTAGCCGATGTGGAGTTCGGTTGGAAAAAAGCTATGGGGGCCAAAACAAGATGTAGCATCGGTCCATGAAGTCATTGACTTTCAGATTAAATTGTATTAGTTATTACAGATTACATGGTTAAGTTTCATGCGATTATTGAAATTAACGGTTGAAGACGGATAGCATTAGTCAATATCTGTCACTATGGCCCATGTGCATTCACTCGTCATCCCTTAGGTCTCGAGTTTTAAAGCTATCCCTGACTTATTCCCCGAATTTTCAAATCATTGTCTATACCAAATGGTCTTACCACCACTGATACTGTTATTACATCTAGTACTTTGACTTTTATCTGAACAGTTTCAGCCTGCTCTACTGATACTGTATGGAAATTAAACCGATGACCATATTTCCCAGGTCTTACGTTGTTCATAATTGACTAACAGAATGGATCACTGTCGATTAAAAAAACTTTTTCGCTTCCTCAGCAACCAAACTATACACGTTTCATCCTGTTAATAACGTTTTGAACTGTCCACTTTATTAAGGTCGTATAATGTAATTTCATGCTGATTATAGTCTGTTGGATGAGTGTTGCTGGATGTAATTTACAGTTTGTTTGACTTCTGTTCAAACTTCTACCAGGTTTGTATAAACTCCAACCAACTTATCGAAAAAGTGGCAACTTCAGTTTCAGCCTTTGTTGAAGCCATGCATCGTGATAGCTGTTCATCTAACAATAATGGCGAAGTTCGTGGTGCAATTAACTTGGAGTTTGTGGTTCATAGAAAAGGGGTTTGGTTGGGACCAGAAGCCGCGACTTGGGAACGTTGGATTGTAAATGTGATTCTGAAAAGCGTCAGTGCGAATGGTAACCTAGATGTTTTTGAGCATCTTTATTTTATCTCGAATTCAGTGGGTGTTGACACGTTACTGAATTAATGTCCAGTTCAATGAGTGGTTTAGTCACTATGCTATCAATAATTAGTCTTTGAGTTCGTATCGTTCTCATGTTATAGAAATATGGGCAACTAGGGTATATTCCAAATGCCTCACATTAGTATTCACTGGCTACACTCATCAGGATACTTGACATAATTTCAGTTGAGTACAAACCTGTACCGATTTCGATCTAAACAATGGTATTTGTCATAAAAAAAGCTATTTAGTATGTTTCTGGGATGTAAACAGTTAGTGATCCGTTACGTAGAACCACTGAATCGCGATAAACAACGTCGTAGCAGAACTGTTAGAAATTCCACTCTAATAAACCTTTCTCAGAGATCGTCTACTATAGTTTTTCTATTGGTGATTATTTTGGATTGTGGCAATTGTGTTTTGCAGTTGCCAGTTTATTCGAGTTACAAGGTGGCTCGATTTATGCCCAATGTTGGGTGATTTTCATGCATGGAGTTGTATTAAACATCATCAATCTATGATGTTAATCGGAAAGAGAACCCCACAGAAGTACATGAGCTTGTTAATTTTTTGAGTTTTGATATTGGGAAACTTCAGGCTTGTTGCTTTTTGTTGATTTTATAGTGACTTGCATTGTTTTCTTTTTATGGTTAAAGAATAAAAATGAAGTAAAATAGTTTGATTTCATTTTATTTTAGGGTTTTTGTCAACTGGTTACTTAAAGAAGGGGGTTTTGTCTGTATAGCATATTTAGATGGATATTTCCAAAACATAAAAGACAGCTGAAGAAAAGATAAAGGTAATAAGTGTCTAAAATAGGAAATAGGTATCTTAGCTACGTGAAGAACATAAAATATCGGATTTCAATCACCTTGAACGAAACTAGAAGACGAGTATGAGAATTTACAGAGAGTGCAAAAACGTTATAATTTGGTTGGATTGTTATCAAAATGAAGTTACTGTGATAGGAATATAACAAGAACAGTTTCTTGGAGAATGCCTAGAACATTCTTAAATACTACAGAAACAGTCGCTTCTTCAAGAAACAGTAAATTCACATTCACTTTTAGTTGTTAGTTATCTGAAATAGGCTCAAATGATTGTTACGCGTTTTATCAAGCAGTCGGCATATACGTGTATAATATTAAACAGTGTTGACTTAAAGTCTTTTTTTATGGGCGGTTTGGTACAACGTTATTAGTCTAGGAGTTAAAATTTTTTAAGTTTTCACTCAGTTAAATGATGTTTCATTTTCTTGTTTTGCGGTGATTTATCATCGATTGTCTTCTAACAACTATTGTTTCAAACTGATTGTTTACCACAGAAAAAGAGGATCATCGTCGTCAAATTAGCAGTCAACTAAGAAATGAATTGTGCAACATTCTCGAACACTTCAACTCTCCCTCAGCTTATGCTCCATCTTTAGGTAGCTCACAAGTGGAAACAGAACACATCATTGACTTCTCTATGTGCGGAATTTCACCCTATCGGTTTAGTATAAATTATCTTTCTAATTCATGTCAAAGTCGTTCCGGAGTGAGTGTGACCATGAGGCGTATATTTAAAGATGCTAGACTTTGATATACATTTTTATTTTCATATTTTGTGTATTATGTACCTAATTTTGATACCGATATTGGACTATCAGTCATAAGCGATTCGGCATTTATATAAAGTCGTGGGAGTCAGTTCTTTATTTCCTAATTCTTGTTTTTATTTTTCGCTATGTTTATTACTTGAAGTTGCATATTAGTATTTCTTGAATTCTGATTGCTGTTTTGTTATGATTTTAGTGAATTTTTATATAAATTGCGATGAACCAGTTGCGGATGACTTGCATTATGCGATTCACTTAATGTAGGGTCACCAATCCCTTGGTTTAGAAAGAATTCTCTCGTTTGTGTAGTTTTAGTAGCTGTTAAATCAACATCTATCCATCACCTATTCCTTCAATATCAAACAAAATATGAAGTAATAGTAAGGAGCTCAGTAATTAAAAGCAGGGTTATAAACTAGGTTTTTATCGCATTAATGAGATGAGTGATTGATTATGAAGTTGTTTTATTATTACTATTGGCTTTATTCAATATTATTTTTTTTGGTACAATATAGAATTCTTAGCACAAGGTATTTCAACAAGTTTGTTCTACGAAAAGAGAAAAAAAGTGAGAGAAACTGACTTCATACATATTTACATAAGTTAAGTAGATAAACTACCTATAATGTTCTTTTAAAGATTTGAATCGGTGCAAATTTTTCACCTAAAAACATGTTTAAGAATAAAAGTTGTTGAATAGATCTACTCCAATAACTTGTTCGTCACATAGTATATTTGCTAGGTAAGGCATTGTAGAGCTTTAATACTTTTGCTTGCGTTAGTGGATTCTACTGTCTTGACGTCTCGTTCTACCAGAAGATATACAAAGAGAAAAATATGAATGGAGTGGATGGTTAGTATCTGATAGCACATGCCAGGAGTTTGCAAGTTTTTAGATGTCTATCCATAACCATATTAATAATGACCTCAAAAGATTCACCACATACCCTGCTAACTGCTTTCGGCTTTCTCCGCAATACAGCAGCGTTTTCTCAAAAGCGCAGGAAATAATAATAGGTAATATGCAAGAACTGACAAACTGTAGGAGTAAGTGTCGAGTAATCCCAAAAGTATGTAGCCTCTTTATGTAAGTCAGACGGAATACTTTCTTCGATAGTAATAAAACATGTGAAAACCAACAGAGATCAGAGGAAAAAGTTGCACCAAAATAATTGATCTTCGATACTGTTTATCAAGGAACCTCCAATGATACAAACATTATGGGATTCCAACAGGGTGTTTAGATGCTGTTCCTGTCTCAGGCTAAAGTCAACAGTTTGACATTTAGACAAATTAATCATGAAACCATCAGCAATAGACTACCATTCAATATGAGACAAAAGCTCATTAATTTTTTAGGGGATGTAAAGAGGAAGAAATCGGCATACATACACTGATATCTTCCTGAAATTTAACTAAAGTGAACTACAACAAATAATAAGCAATGAGGACTTCCCATAAAATGAAATTGGGAGCTTGTCACACTTCCTGTTAATAAACCAGTCCGATTCATCTGACCATTTTAGATAGAATCCCGATTTCGGGGAAAATTTGACCCATTTTGAGGGAGCCGCTATAGTGAACTTTGGTGAAATGGCACAAAACCCCCGAAATTCCCCTTTAACCTTGGCCAAGGTCATTTGACTCTGGGGATTTCCCTGGAATTCCCCAAACGTTGGTGAATGTCATTTGACTTCGGGAGTTTCCCTAAACTTGGGAGCTCGGGATGAAGTGTACGTGGAACGAATTACGACGTAAAATTTTCATATTTTCTTGTTGCAGACAATTAAAGTTTGTCCACGCGTTCCAGTATTCAGCGATAGTTCATCACAGTCTGTAGTACGCCAATTAAATGAGCGTTTGTCTTGTGCATGTACTGAAGTGGAATATTTTTCTAAACAGACAGTATGTGAATTACACACTGCATGTTTGTGTAATAGTTCCTAATTAACTCAACTAAATGGTTATCTAGCACACCTTGACAATCGAGGTTTATATTTCGAGTTACTGTATTGTACTAATTTAACCTTTTACGTCAAATTAGGAACGTTGCATTAAAAAATGTAGAATAAATGGTCGTGACAACAATGGGGTATTTGAGTTTCTTTCATTTCTGGTCCTCTGTTTCTGTGATAGTGACAACGAACAATGTTGTAACAATAGAAATGTGGTGAAATAAGTGTGTACATTTGAGTGTTTCAGACTTTCTGTGCGTGGTATTGATTCTGAGAGATTTGCAGAACAAGGATGAAGATCTATTACTTTACGTCTACAACACAGGTAAGATCAACTGTTATTGTAAAAAACTGTGGAAGTTGTTTAAGTATTGAAAAGAAAGGTAGATCGCGAAAATTGTTTTAGATCAAGATGTGGTAACAGTTCATAAAGTCAAAGGCTGTATTGGGTAATGCGTACATTTTAATTGTGATGTATAATTCTTTGTGTTCCTTGATATCTTGTCAACAGTGTTATTCCATACCACATTCCCCATTTGTACTCTCTTTTTCTACTGTATTCTCTGTCTATTTTGTTACTGTTATTAGTATTATTATTTCTACTCTGCTTTTTGACATAGTTCATGTCCTCTCTAAGTGCCGATCGGTGTAAGATACGAAAGATTGTATATGACTGACAGCTGAATCACAGAAGCCATCGTTTGCGCTTTGTTTGATTATGGGGATAACGGAAGGTGGTCGGGATGCTTTACACTTCCGCTTAGAGGACATGACAGACATCTGCTTCGAGGTTTTACCTTCATCTCTTACTCTTTGGTTGAAAACAGTAAATGAGGTTTCGCAAAATCGGTCATAGTGAAGCAAATATGTTGAATATTTGTTGTCCCTCAAATGTTGCATACTCCTTAGTGGTTGATTTGATTTACGCTTTTTGAACTGTATCCCATATGTCTGATTTTCTGTAATGAGTTCTGTTTCTGTTTGCTCAATATTCGTTTTGGTGATCTTAAAGATTTCGCAAGTATTTGGAGTTTGGCAATGCCTTTGCCAATAACACCTTCATATTCGAAGTATCCCAACCCAGTCAAATCAGCAGTCAGAAGCGAAGACGTCCGAAGATATATTTGATAGGCTATCGGTATGTCGAGGAACTTCTGGTCTAAGCTGACTAACAGTTGAAAGGGATGCGTCGCACAGTGTACCCACTCGCGATCTGGTGCGGTTTCGTGACCGAGCACCTTCAACTAGGTGAATCCAGTGAAAATAATGCAGTCAGCATCAAATGTTGAAGACTTACGAAGCTATTGATTTCGGGGATTTATTTACCACTACAGCTCACTCACCCACTGGTGGGGTAATGATGGCTTTAAGGCGTGGCCAGTCAGAAGTCCAAACACAACGAGTTTGTCGTTGGTAAACACTCTTCTGATAGCTTTCTATGTTCAGCATTGTCAGGTCCTTTTTTCCTACTGTAAGAGGCCATAAAGTATAATATAGTATTGAGGAAACGGGTACAATGAGAATGCTAGAATACTAGGAACGAAGTTTGGTCTCGGTTTTTTTAACACAAATGATGCCAAAAAGTAATGATAATAACGAGATGGGACAAAATGTTGTTGTCTTACGTGCATTAGTCGTTCAAGTGTTCCTGAGACCTTAGCCTTCTATCAAAGCTCATTGTTTTAGGTCAGTTGTCAGGTACCACCGAAGTGTCATCGTGATTGTCGAATATCGGGTGAGGTATCGTAATTATGAGACTCATGTATTTCGACTGTACCGAAGAAAAGCTGACATAATGTGTCAGGGTATCAATCGTGATAGTCATCATAAATTTAAACGTAAACAGACTTCACATATCAAGATCAGTAGAAAGAAAAGAAAATAAAATGAATGAAAAACGTTTCGATAGTGATACGTTGCTTTTCGCCCATACTAAAAACCATAAATACCTGAGGGTTTTGTACCATATTTGATAGTGTTTGGAATAGAATTCTTTCTCGCTCATCTAGCTTTCGTGGTCCCAAGTAGTACGAGGTACATCAAGAATCTAAGCTCTAAATAAAGCATATATCTTTCTTTGGTAGGAGAGAATCGATGAACTACTTTCAAGTCATCAGCACAGAGGAAAGGTTTACCGTGTTGAAAGAGTGGAAACACGTTACTGATGAAAAGGAGAAAGAGTAATGAGTCAAATACACTTCCTAGTATAACCCCACTAGTTACATTCACAGAATTAAAGTAGCAAGATCCAAAGTGAATGACTTGGCCACTTTTTGCAAAAAAAGATTTGAGACATGATGAAAGGGGATTGCGTAAACCAAGTGAAGAACATTTTAGAAGAAGCGGTTTGTGTGAGACACTGCCGAAGGCCCTATTAAAATGGAAGTACAGAATTATCACAGGCAGACCAACATCTCTTCTGTGGGTAATTTGATCAAGTAATTCCAGGCTTGATGTGAAGCCTGAGCGTTTAGTCATAAACCTATGTTGAGATGGGCTAATCAGGCTAGATGTCAACATTGGAAATGCATTAATAGTAGGTTTGGTCTCAGTGTTGTAGCATTGCGAGGAATGCTGACTGAATTGTTCACAAATACTATCTGGGTCGCCAACAATGTTTCCGTTCATTATAACGAATTTGTTTGTGCAAATCGAATTCGTTTTCATATGGGATTTGAAAAGCCGAAGTGATGATAACTCGACTCTTACTACTTATGGTTTTATTCTCCATGGTCATAAGATACTTGTGTCTAGATGAGTCATTTCTGTCAGTCACGTTGTGAATACTCTGATGTGCATACATCTCATGATGTGTGTGGTAGCGATATTTCGATTTTCTCAGCCTTCTCTTACAAGTTTTAAAAGTATTCTGGCTCATATTGACATGATAACTAGGGCAGGGCAGTCAAGGCAATGTGTCAGGTTGTGGTGTAAGCTGGAAAACGCAGTGTCAATATTATTTGTGGTGAAATAGGATTTTCGTGGCGAGCATGGAATAAGAGTTTCAGTGCGCTTCCACGTTTGTTGATCGAATTGCCTGCTCTGGTACATTATTGCAGCTTTAGAGTTTACTTGCAGTGTTTAGAGAATGAATAACACTCAAAACGACTAGATGATCGCTTATAAAAATCATGACCAATGTGCACTGAAAAAGAGTATGTTGATTGTAAATAATAAATCGAGTATATTATTCTTCCTAGTTGGCTTTCGTTCTTGTTGGACCCATCCACACATTTGTAGTGTTTCGAATAACATGTTATGTCGACCTGGTATGAAGT